ACTTTACATGGCATGTCTTTAAAAACTTGAAGTTCATGTATCCATCAAATTCCATGTGATGAATGGTAAATTTGTTGCATGTTAATATTTATATGGTAATTCATTTTACATGAAAAAGGTTAAGGTATGATAAAGTGGGGTTTTTAGTTCATTTTTTTCCCCTTCTCTGGCTAACTTCATTTGTGTTTCTGATATATGGCAAAAATCAAGAAAACCAAATTGAATCCAACTCAGTGATGGATCAATGGTGAAAGGTTAAGACAGCCATGGCGTTTGTAAAAAGAAGACTAAGAGAAGAAAACAACACACATCACATTCATGAAATTCTTGTTGTTTATTCCTTTCTTAGCTGTTACAGGATATATAAGCAAATCCTGACAATTGCAGAGAGGCAGTTGTGACCGCTGACATGTGGCTAACCAAACCAGACCACTCTAACGCACAAACAACACTTACATATATAAACAAAAGCTACTGACTAATGAAACTAAATGACAATTCAACCAATCCTAACAGTAAAAGAATTCAAATCAAATGCTTCTCAACGATGAAGACCCTCGGTTGCTTTCTCCCGCATCAGTTTCATGTCTGGCATTTCATCTGACAAAGCCCAGTGATAACCTGAAAATAGGATGGTAGATAGTTTCATAAGAGTGATTGCAATGTTCTTCAAGACTTGGTTTGTTGCTTTTAGTTAAATCAAGTAAACATTTGTGGTTTGTCAAATGATGCCCTTTCAGTTTGCTGTCAGCTTTAGCAGTTAGTCCAAAATAAATTTAACTGTGTTATGTTTACAGGACAATGAAACTAGCCAGACTGGCGATGGTGCTTCAGCAAATGGAGATGTTAGTATCACAAAAACTTATACTAGTGGAATTGCTTTATTTCCTTTTCAAATTAACACACAAGGTTTCTGAGCTTTCCATTAACCTAACAGGCTGAAATGGGTCCTAGTCCTTGGTCTAAAGTTGACAAATCAGGCTACATAGCAAAAGAGGTTCTTGAAGCAAAATCTTCAATCAAAAAGAGGAAGAGCAGCACATTAGGTTCTAAGAGCAAGCGCTTAAGAATTGAAAATGAAGATATGATAGAACTGAAGCTAACATGGGAAGAAGCACAAGGATTGCTCCGCCCCGCTCCTGACCATGTTCCCAGTATTGTGGTGATTGAAGGATTTGAGTTCGAGGAATATGAGGTTTGATTGTTTCCTTGCCCAAAATAAGTTTCTGCCAATGAGGGGTTTTCTCTGTCTTTAGCCACCCTTCGCATTCCCTTTGCCATTTGTTCCTCTGTTCTGCTTGTGTTCAAGTCATTGTGAAGGTAGAGGCTTCTTGTTTTTTGTTACTTTGATATCATTAACTGTTGCTTTATTTAGTTAGTTGTCCCATCGGAGTATAGTTACAGTAGCATGTACAGAACTTTGGTAGTACACTGTGATTAGAAACTCATCACAATGTGGCTGCTAATCTGGTGAAGGTGAAAACCCTTGAATTTTGGTTCCCTGTGCCAGCAACTCTTGCCTGGTGGCAGAAGAAAAAAAATGCAGAGATTAATTTCTTCCCATCATAGAGCCATTTAGGGAGATAATGGGGTATGTATTGTTCAGTGCTGCAAAAGGCCCTGGAATATTGACATGTTGCTATTCTATTGGTAGAAACTTGCCTTCTCTAGTCATTGAATTTTAGGTTCTGGCATGTTTAAGTGTACAAGAATATGAAATCCCAGAGGAAGATTGTTTCAGTTGTAGAATGCCTGGGTAATAATGCCCAACTCTTGCACATATGCATGGGATTTTTTATTTTTATTTTGTGTGTGTGGTTGTTACTGATACAATTGGTTGTTTGATTGAAGAACAATATTTCCTTGTGATTTTAACTAAACATCACTTAAGATGTTTTCATCATTATACATTACATCATTTAATGAGTTTGTATTGAAGGGTTTTTTTGGGCTTCTGATACATTTTCTTCCTATATGTTTTATGCTCTGAACGTAGCTAGCTAAAATTTATCCTGGCAAGGAGGTCCTACTTTTATGGATTCTGACTATTTTACTGCTATAACAGGATGCACCAGTGCTCGGCAAACCTACAATTTTTGCAATGGATAATGTGGGGTAAATTGCTTATCCTGAATGCCCAAGCTTTCACCTATACCTTTTTTGTTAGTTTTCTTAAATTCACCAGGATTTGGCACACAAATGTCTCCCAGAAATTTATCCACACCTATATTTGTAAACCACCTGACATGGTGAGATCTCTCATGGCAGTTCTAAGTGGTACAGGTATTTTTTTCTAGAAGTATATCATCTATCTTTGGTGTCAGTGTGTGTGTATTAGAATCTATTCATCATGTACACATGCAGGCTGTGCTAGCAGAAAAGTGTTCTCTCTCCTATAAATTTCTATGTATTTGAATCAGCTCAAATTTCACACTAGCTGGTTGTGCTTTGAGAAATATATGATCTCTCTAACCTATAAGCTTGTATGTAAATCTGTTCACACTATTTGAGTGAACAATGAACATAAACCTAGGATAATGTTTTCATATTATTACGTTTCCTCCTTTTTCAGCCTGGGTAAAATGGTGCTTTACTGCATTGTTTACTCTGTTGACTGTTATGCAGACTTGATATGCACTTTCTGTTTTTTGTTTATAAACTTTCCTTGTTATAGCACTGCTTCATATGCTAAAATAGATTTGCATGTCCTTTCATCTCTTTGAGGAAATATAATTCTAATATGATGTGTTTTCTGCCAGTCACAAGATTCAGTGGGTTCAATGCGAAGATTGTCTTAAGTGGAGAAAATTGCCTCTCAATGTTCTTCTTCCCTCCAAATGGACATGTTCTGGTAACACATGGGATTCTGAAAGGTATAATGTGAATCCATTTATTCCTTCAGGCTTGAGTTTTCCCCTCTATCTGTAGTAGTTTTATGCTCTGAGAGCATGTTATATAGTCTGGGATTTTTAAATGATTCTGTGGTGCAGAGCGTGTGTTTGTGTGTATTATATTTCTTTATAAAACGCAAATGTGCATTTGAGGTCCTACAATTCACTACAGCTTCGGTGCATGCTTGGTTAACTTTGTCATTTTCTTTCCCAGTAGCTCATAATGTTTGGTTGTTTCCATGGTAAATAATTAACGTAGGCAGTGCCCACCTCTCTAATGGACAAGACAACATGTGAAAGTTGAATGTTGTCTGAACACATTTTAATTGCAGGCTGCTTGCATTTTATTAACATTTTTGGTTATATCTGCTGCCAGATCATCATGTTCGGTGGCTCAAGATTTGACATCAGAGCAGCTTGAAAATCTACTTCCATCCCGTAATTTAGGTACTAATTGCTTACATTGACTTTGCTTTTTGCTGTTTTGTCCATATTTAAAATTCAGTAATTCATGGTCGTGGAGCAATTAAGTTATTCTCAAGTGTGGCACCTAGTTCCACTATCATGTTACACAATTTTTGTAGATGCTGTTTATGTGTATTTTAATGATTTTAAAATGGAATTTCTTGGCAAAATGTGATGATTCCCAACTGCCCATTTTGCACCTGGTGTTATGTTTGTGAATCAACAGTCACTTCGAAGAGATTGAAAGCTGCCAAGAAGGATATTGATAACGTTGAAGCTTTGGGGGGCCTTGACACTCTTGCTAACCTCGCTATTTTGGGAGAGGGTGAGGCTCTTCTGGCTTCATCCCAGGCCACCACGAAGCACCCCCGACACAGACCAGGCTGCTCCTGCATTGTGTGCATTCAGCCCCCAAGTGGGAAGGGTCCCAAACACAAGCAGACATGCACATGTAATGTCTGCCAAACTGTGAAGCGTCGTTTTAAGACCTTAATGATGAAGCGAGAGAAGAAGCAATCAGAGAAAGAAGCAGAAACTACTCGGAAGCAGCAGGAGTCTTCTGCTGAGAAGTTGCTTGATGATGACCCCTCGCCATCTAGCAATGCAGGAAGTGCAAGTGGCAGTCCTAACAAGAAAAAAGCAGTCAGTGAAGTTTCCGATGATGATCCTAACAGAATGAAATCCTCAACTTCACCTTTCAAAGGCCAAATAGACCTGAATATCCAGCCAGAGAGGGATGATGAGTTATCACCTGGTTCAGATTCTGGAGGCATGATGAGGATGCTCCAAGATGCCTCTGAGCGATACCTCAGGATGCAAAGATTCTTGAGCTCAGATGGTGATAGTATCCCTGCCAGTAATCACTCAGTGTCAAGTTGGGGGGCAGATGAAAAAGCCGGTAGTGGCATCATGCTTGGTGGCAGCCATCAAGATGCTAGCGAGGATCACCCCTCAGCTTTTTCATTGATCGCTTCTGCATCTGCCTCTGCATCCACTCCAGCCACCTGATAGACAATGCCCTTTACTGTGCATGGCCATCAACCAAGAAAGACCACGTGATTGAACGAGAGGATATTCTCGTGGCATGTTTGTCCACATTGGCATTTTAACTCTGTTGTTCTGTACATAAAGTAGAGAGGGGTAGGAAGCGGTAACATGGGTGAGAACCAAGATTTTTTCCAGTCCATGCTGTATAATATCTTCTTCTCTGTGCTTATATAATTGGACACTGACACGCTTTTAGGAGATGATTGATGATTCAATCAAGTGGGTAGCAGGTTGCAGCTATGTAGTTTATTGTTAGAAGCTCACTGCTACCCTTAATTAAGACACAGAGGATGAAATTAAGCTTGTGCTTTTTCGCACATAGTCAAAAGAAAATTGCATTCTTGTAAATTTTAGTTTGGGTTTCTACTCGGGGATTTTTTGCTCAATCAACAGTAGCTTTTTGCTCCAAGTGGTTCAAATTTAACAGCTACCTGGTTTTAAATCTTGCATTAAAATGTTTGTCTTTCAAAATGTATTAAAATGAATATTTTTATATATATTAGTATATCAAAACTATCTAAAGCATTAAAATTTTATCAATTTGATATTTTTTCCACGGCAAAGACTTGTGATGCATCATCTAATCTTACAGGTAATCTCGGTGCTATTGTTTTCTTCTTGCCAGCGAAAAAACTGAAAAATGTTCTGGAAAGAATCTATTGAGATGTCCAAGATCTTCAAAATCTTGGAGTTAAGTATATGTTGTTGAGGATAGCTCCTATGGACTCCTCCAAAAAAGTAGGCAGAGCATGAGCAGCAGTCATATCCCAGATTTCCTTTAGGCATCAAAAAGTAGTGAACGAACCCCTTCAAGTTTTTCTTGAGACATGAAAAACGTTTCCCTGGCCATGTTTTGTATGCCCTAAAGTTAGTTAGGAGGAGGAGCAAAGTAAAGATTTTGCTAGGTTTGTGCAATCTCCATTATTAGATTTGTGGTTAGGGATAAAGAAAAGGAAGACCAAGTCAGCAAAGCCATAATGGTTCCCAAAGAAGAGGGGGAAACCGTTTGTTACCTGTATTTGACAACCTTTGGAAACTTTGCAAACGGTCTTCCAGGCAAATCTTGGTTGGTCCTAAATCCTAATCTCATAATAACCTCAAGCCAGAAATAAAAGAAAATTTTGTTGGTCAGTTCTTGCTTTTGCCACCTCTTCCTTTCCCTTCCTCCTCGTTAGGCTCTAGATTAAGAACTGGAAGATGATCACCAAAAAAAAAAAAAAACGCTAAAAAACTAGTGCATTTGTAGAAGAACAGGAATTGTTTTATCCTGGCTTTATAAGCATTTTCCAGTAATCCCACCAACATAAAAGAAATACAACCGCCCAATAATAGGATTGGTTGTTGTATTCTTCCAAGATGAATGATTTGTTCTCGAGTTCGTTCAAGAAGTACACTGACCTCAAGCAGCAGGCTCAAATTGATGACATGGAGGCAGGGAAGGACGGTATGAATCTGGACAGATTCTTTGAAGATGTCGAAAATATTAAGGGAGATATGAAAACTGTTGAGAGGCTGTACAGGAGTTTACAAGAAGCCAATGAAGAAAGCAAGACTGTTCACAATGCTAAGACCATGAAAAATCTCCGTTCGCGGATGGACGTGGATGTTGAACAAGTTCTGAAGCGCGTTAAAATCATCAAGGGAAAGCTTGAAGCCTTAGATCGATCCAATGTAGCTCATCGCAATGTTCCAGGGTGTGGTCCAGGATCATCCACGGATCGAACCAGGACATCTGTGGTTAGTGGTTTGGGAAAAAAGCTCAAGGATCTCATGGATAATTTTCAGGACTTGAGAGCTAGAATGGCAGCTGAATACAAGGAAACTGTGGAGCGCAGGTATTTCACAATCACAGGAGAAAGAGCGAGTGACGAAACGATTGAGAATTTGATATCCAGTGGTGAAAGTGAAAGTTTCATGCAAAAGGCAATTCAGGAACAAGGAAGAGGCCAGATTCTTGACACAATATCAGAAATCCAAGAGAGACATGATGCTGTGAAGGAGATAGAGAAGAATTTGATTGAGCTTCACCAGGTATTCTTGGATATGGCTGCTCTTGTGGAAGCTCAGGGTCACCAGCTGAATGATATTGAAAGTCATGTTGCTCACGCTAGCTCGTTCGTGCGGCGAGGAACTGAGCAGCTTCAGGAAGCCAGGGAATATCAGAAGAGCTCTCGGAAGTGGACGTGCATTGCCATCATAGCTGGTGTTGTCCTCATTGTTGTCATGCTACTACCATTTTTACCACATATCTTGGCTCTCTTGTAGGAATAACAGGGGGCGGAATTTCTTTTTGAACTCTAGAAACACATTTGATTTAACCCCAACCGAAAATTGTTAGTTGTAAGGTTATCTTGGAAAGCTTGGGTTTATTTTCCAATGGTAGCAATTTTGATATCTCCAGCATAAGCACAACAGCAAGGATGATTGGTAAGTCTCTCCTCTGCGAGGCATCCTAGAAGCACATTTCTTGTTTGGCACCCCCGAAAGAGGCAATTGGCATTGTTTGCATGAAATTCTGCTGCAAATTCCAAACTAAGGCCATGGCAGAAACCATGATAGTTGATTGGAATGAATCTGTAATTGTTGGGGAGAAGAAGACGCATCGAGAGAAAAATGAAGTCATTGTAATGTCAAATTTTTGACTCATCGGAAGGAATTGCATTCCTGTCAACTAGTTTTGTTTTCTCCTCTATTTCTTATTGATTATACATGAAAGAAAATTCTCTTTTGAAGATGGCAATAGAAAACTATCAATCTTGCAATCAATGGGTGAATTTCTCTGCATCTCTGCAGAAGCAAGAAGATTTTCAACATTTCATGAATGACATACAAATGACTCTGGATATCTCAGTATCATAAAAGAAATTATTGGTATTGCTGAGCAATTAATATAGTTAGGCCATGCATGAAACCTAATTCATACGAGGCAAACTGGGAGTCCCAATGGGGTACTGTCAGCTTAGCAAAATCATTATTGAACAACTAGAGAAAAGCTAGTGCATGATTGCCAGGAAAAAAGTTGCCTCCTTTTACAAATGAAAAGACGTTAATTGATGGACTATGTAGGCATGTACCTACCTATCTGACTCGAGTACAAGCTGGAAAAACAGATTTCTTAATGACTATAGACCTGCAATTCTATAAATACATCGCAACCTTTTTCTAAATCAAGCCAACGCTCTCCCAATAGGATCAATTTTTTCTCCAGATTCAATAGAACAAAATCAAGCTGATCATATTGAATTTCATGATCCAGCAGTGCTTTAGTATGCTACATAAGATATGCAAGCAATTTTAACTCTATTTCAGTTAGAAGATGGATCATTTCACAAACAGGAGATGAATAAATACACAATTTAAGAAACCAAACTTAAGTACAAACCAATTTTTCATTTATGACAACAAATACTCCCTTAAAATGGGCACAGAATACCATTCAAAGGTATAAGCAGTTACAAATTTAGTAATTCTTCTGCTCCATCATCACCCAAGATTCTGCTATGCCACGGCACTAGTAGATAGGAAACTATATATTGCATAACCCAAACCAAATGATACTGCTTAGTAATATACAAGTACTCATATCAATCAAGTGCCAGCACTAGGCAAAGCTGCCATAAATGAATTGTACGAGGACTCCAAATCGAAGTGAAGTTGCCGAGCCTGCTGCTCTGTCAACTCATCTGCGGCCCCCATCTTAGAGAACCTCAAAATCCATTCTTTCATCTTTGTCTTGCCCTCAAAGTCGGATGGCAAAATACTCAACTTGTTCAGTGAAGCTGAGAGATCTGAAAGCAAAGGATGCACCTGGTCCACTGCCACCATATTCAACTTCAGCGAATCCATAGCTGTGATGAAGTTCTGAACACACTCTGCCACAACGGCAGCTGAGGTGGTAGATAAGGCAGCTGCAGCAGCACGGTGTTCCACCGTGGCAGGCACCCCCGAGGTCACAAGCCTGTTAATGGCAGCTGGGCAGTCCATCTTGTATGTATCTGCAAAGCGCTCAATGCTAGGGACTGTGTCTTTAGAAGTGGAAGCCAAAGTTTTGAAATGGACAATGAGTTTCTGGCACTCAGTTTCATACTGAGATGAAGATACAACGTCACGAACATAACCCTTTTCAAGCTTGTCCGTGGCTTTGATTATAGCGTATAGCTCAGCAAAATTATCATACATTTCTCTCTCGCGCTTGTCGTTCCATAGCTTGACCTCCATTTAGTTACACAAAGTATAGACTTAAAGACGCAAAAAAAAAAGAACAAAAGAAAAAAAGAAATCACTTTCAAAGTAGGATAAATAGGATATCTGTGGAGGACTGGAGAAGAGAACGGGACACGCGCAAAGAGCACTGACCTTCACTGCAAACAATCATACACAACATAAGAATGCGTAATCATAAGAGGAAAAAAAAAACACAATCAATTACATGAATCTAAAACGCAACACATGAAGTCATGAGTCTAAAAGCAACATAGACTCTACTTTTCTTCGGTTCAATAAAACAAATTCTGGACACACATTGTCCTTTCCATGGCGCGGTTCTAGAAACGAAAACAAATCATCAAAACAACACTCATCTATGCCTAAACAAGCAAGGCAACTTGCTTGAAGGAAATAATGAACACACAAAGGACTAGAGACTTCAACAAGCTAAAGAAACCCAAATCATAAAACTTAAAATTCATCACCCTAAAAAAACCCATTTCCACCACCCCCTTTTACTTACCCAACCATCAGAGAACTAATAATAATGCTACCACCCTTGAAACAATAGTCAAGAAAATTTCATAAAGAAAACGCAAAAAGTCCCTCTTTTCAAGATTCCTCAAGTTTCCAAAAACAAAAACAAAAAAATCACCAGATAAGCACAGCAGATCATGAAATCACAAACCATTAAGAAAGAACAGAAACCAAAATCATAACACAAAACATAAAATGAAAAAAACCATTAAAAAAGCTCAAACTTTACCTTAAATCATCGTTAAAAAAGCAATGAAACAACCAAAGTTTAAAGCTTTAAAACAGAGAAACAGACAAATAAACTTATTATATATATACATACAGAGTGAGAGAGAGTGGACGGGGACCTACAGGGAAGTGAAACGCGGTTTTGAATAACGTGAAGGGTCTTTTCTCTCTTTCTCTCTCACTTTTTGCAGGGAGAAAAATAATAAGAAAAGGAAAAGAACTGTAATTTTGTTTTGACAAACCTCAACATAGTCTCCAAATTATAGACTGAATCTTGAATGAGTCTTAAGAGAACTGTTTTTATCAATCAGGTCCTCAAAGTATTGTAATTGATGATTGATGACCATCTTAGCATGTGATTGGTTTAGAGGTTAGCCATAGCCAATCATGATTTATGAATGTGATTGCAGTCGTAGATAAAAAAGCTTTAAGACTAAAAAATAAATTTATATCAAAAATATTAAAATTAAGATATTAGATATTGTATAAATGTATAATAATATATGAATACAAGCAGTGGTGGAGCTGGTAGTGTGAGACATGAGAGGCCAAAATTAATATAACAAGATAATTAAAAAGCTTATTTATATAAAATAAAAAATATTATATTATTCTTTATTTAAATACTAAATGAAAAAAATTAAAATATTTCGTCAAGGTCCCTGCTTGCCTCTCCTGATTACGCAGCTATATTTAGACTCTAGTTTTAAGTGAATGGGGTTTATTATTTAATGCTATCACACTAGACGGATGAGTGCGGTGTAATTGAGGCAAAAAGTGGACTTGTATGAGAAATAATATATATTCGGGGGACCTATTTGTAGTTTACCATATATTCTTTTTGTGATTTGAGAAAGAGGGAAGGGTTGCGTGTGGGACGTTATAATATAATTACTGCTTACGGCATCTACGTGTAGCAGTTGAGATGACCAGAAGAGAAACCCATGCCAGGAACTCAGAAGAAAGTGACGGAGTGGAAGGCAGGGGATCTCCGTTAAGTTCTTCAACCTTTTCCCACCGTTTGATTCTCTTTGAGTGTTCATGATTGATCATTAGATCCTGATCGCTTTCAGTTTCCGAGGCTTGTCATTGTGGGCCCATAATGATTTTTTGTCATTTTGTAGGGGTTCGTTATTTTATTGTGTGATTGGTGTCTTCCGATAAAAATATAATTAGAGGGAAAATGTTTTTATTTCTTTTGTGTTTTGAATGAATACGAGTTTATTTTAAAATTATTTAAAATATATATATTTATTATATTTTCTTACAACTGTCTTGCGATAATAATTAAAAGTAACTTCAGTGTAAAAAAATGACAATTTAATTAGATTTTATTGGGTATTAACTAAACCTAAATAAATCAGTTTTTTTAAATAATTAATTTACTCGATAAGTAATAAATATTGCAATCATAACTCAAAAACCAATTTAAAATATTTACATCAATATTATATGCATATATATATATATTTAGAATATATTTTGTTTACAATTATTTAATTTACTCTGTATGACAAGTCCCTTTCACATTATTAGGAGTAAATAATATATTAGTCCCTATGCTTTTATGAAACCAATGAGTTGATCCCTTTGATTAATAAATTATCACATTTTAACCTTATATTCATAGGTCTCCATATCGTTAAATAGCTTAGTTCTTCTGTTAATTTTTCGTCATTTTGATGCTGGGTTATCTTTTCATTTGCTACTATTTTCTTTCAATTATTTCATAATAAAAAACATGATGAAGAATTACTTCATAAAAGAGATTAGGAGTGATAATTTTATATTTGGTTTGATTTTTATTAAAAAAATAACAAAATTAAAATTAAAAAAAACCAAAACCAAACCGAAATCGGTTAAAACCGACCGATTTTGGTTCGGTTCATTTTAAGACAAAACCAGTTCAAACCAATTTGATTATTTTTTCAGTTTGGCTCAATTTTCTTAATTTTTACGGTTTGGCTCTTTTTTATGGTTTTTCCGGTTCGGTTTCGGTTTGTTTTTTGCTTATAAAATCAAAACCAAACCGAACCAGCTATTTTTTTTTAATTTTAATCGGTTTAATCAATTATTTTATTCTGTTTTTTTAGTTTTTTTTTGTTTTCTCTGTTTTTTGTGATTTTTTTACTCACCCCTATAATAAAAGAGATAAGTGTAAAAAAAGAGAGAAAATCATGGTAAATCCTATTAAAAGTAATAAAAATATACCTCAATAATCTTTAAAAATATACCACAAATCATCATCAATTATGCATGGCTTCTGCAACTATGGACTTCTATAATTGCTGTTATGGAACCTAAGTTCCTTTCAGTTGTCACCGTTATTCACTGGAGTTGACAATTTGTTTGCTGTAATGGCTTGTTCAGGAACATAAATACTTTGAAGATGCATTCAAGGTAGATGAAAGGGGAGTTAGAATATGCAAGCATCCTCGTGTAAAAGACACTGGTGTCACATATCTCTCGAAGTTTTTGAAGAGAACTAGCAAGGCAAAACTGGAGC